AAATGCAGTTGGAATCCAAAGTAAAGATAATTAGAAATGGGGAAAAAAACACAAACCACACTGAAGTCATTAACACGGCAGGCCAGGATGATAAATTGCAGACTTTCACAAGATAATGCAGCAACCACAGTTGGGAGGATGCCAAAACCCAGATAAGCCTCGACCAAGATAATGCACGCTTTGCTTCCAGCAAAGAGCCGTGTGCAAACGCCCCCCTTATATCCTGTTCTCCCAGCTGCAACTAATGAAAGGGATCAGGGCCCTTTTCTCTCCCATAAGCCATGTTGCTCCCTCCTCCGTTCTTCCCTGCGTGCCCTAGGATGAAGAAGGGTGGCCCTGGGTCTTCCTCTGAATGCCCAGCCGGATTGTGCCCTTCCCCCGTTTCTTCCACAGCCACCGGAGCCACACTCCCACTCCCTGTCAGCTGCTCCATCTCCCCCTCAGAATCGGACTCCAACAGGGGCATGACACTGACCAACTTGTATTCCCTTGGTGGAATATGGTGGAATTTTGAGATTGTTCTGTTTGTAGCTTGTTTGCTTTAGGCTTGTTCTACCAATGGGTAAGATCCAATAGAAGAGAATATTTGTGGCTCAGGGTTGAACTGTGGGGTCCTTGGGTTTCTCTGAGCTTGGCAGTTTCCTTGCAAGCGGTTTCATTATCTAACTAGAGAACATTATCAGGGCTAGAAGGGAGTGGGGTTTGTGGAGTGGATGAGGAAGTCCTTGGATTCTCTGACCCGGAGGGTTTTCTTGCAGACATTTCATCACCCAACTAGGTAACATCGTCCACTGATGAAGCAAGATCCAGAACCAGCTTCCAAGCAATTTTTAAAAAGGAAAGACGTGATTCTTTTTCCTTCATGAACGGTAGCATTCCTTAAATTTGATTAAAGTGCAGAATTTGCTCGCTCGCTCGCTTGCTCTCTTTACTTTTTTCTCTTTCAGTCTCTCTCTTTCTGTCTTTATTTCTCTTTCTCTCTTACTATTTCTCTCTCTCTTTCTAATTCTTTACTTCTTTCTCTTT